AAAATCTCCAACACCTTTCTAGAATATGGAGAATCTGGATCAGGAGGAGAGAGATCATAACATTTTATTTACTCTCATTTCTATTTTCCCTTTCCAGGGTTATGTTTATTTATGCCATGATTGCTGGAAGTGAGAGCCCAGCTCTGATTTATTAAAAGAACAAGCTATTTAACTTTGTTGCCATGGTCCATTGTCTTTGGCATACGCAAATGCACTGATAATACCTCTCCTTTTCATCTACAGCTATTTTGTAACATGAGCGGCTCCTAACAGATGTTTGAGGCACTATATGTTTCCAGATGAAGTCATGCATTTTGTTTTATTTTTTTACGAGCCACCATAAAAAAGCTGACACGTATTTAATGTTATCAGCAAACTTGTAATAATTCGCTTGTACAAAAAAATTCCATGGCTAATTCCAAGTCAAATATCTGATAATGGAACATATTAAAAAATAAAGCATGTTATTAATAAGTTAATTATAAAGCTTGCATAATACATAATACTGCTTTTTAAATGCCTGTATGATTTCTTACTAATTATCTGAAACAAAGTCACTTATCTTACAAATACATCAAACCTGTATATTTATCCCAAACGCACGCTGGACCTATAAAACTTTATATTGTCTGATAGTTTCCATTTCAAATTTGTGAAGGCTCTAAAAAGTACAGCAACATTAACAAAAAGCATTTGATCTTTCTGCCTGAGTAGAATTCTTGGCATCTGCATGGTCAAATTTCCCCAAAATAAGATTAGCATGTTTCCCTGGATTCAGCATTAAATGTTTAAAGCAGGGTTTCCTTATCATCAAGGCCACAACGTGCAAGTCTTACACATCTAACATTGCATTTTCTAAACTCTGCTTAGAATTTTATCATTGCTTTTCATCAATTGAGTTGTTGCTCAGGTTCTAACACTTCCTTTGGAGATGTAAGCAGCCCCTTACGGTAATATGCATAGAAAAAAAAACATTCAACATATCTTTTGCTGACAAATATTATTCCAATTGACTTTAAATGGGAAGAAAATATTTCTCTTGAATGCAGCATCAAGGTAATTTTATTCTAACCCCTTAAGGACCAAACTTCTGGAATAAAAGGGAATCATGACGTTACACATGTCATGTGTGCTTAAGGGGTTAAGGCACTGAGTGTTTGCCTCTGTTTCTAAGGCCTTAAGGTGTTCACCTTTAATTTTAAGGTACTGTGTCTTTTCCTTTATTTTAAGGCACTGGGCTCTTTGCCTGGCAGAAGTGGAAAATGCTATGTAAATCCATTTTTTTTTATTTTTCTTTCAAAGGAGGCACATTATTATTATATATTGCCAGAGTTGGATTAAGGTTGCCCAGGGTCCTAAACAGATTGCCAGATTGGGGCCCCTTCGTAGAGCACTCACATAGATACATACATTCGCAGACATGCTCATCTTCAAAGATCCTTATATTCTCACACCCCCTCATACAGAAACACTTACAGATCCACCAATAGAAACACATATTAAAACAGATACACAGTGCCACACACACATACACACAGCCACACATATATAAAAACAGATATACAATGCCTCTCAAAGATACACACTGCCACACATACACAGATCATTATGATACACATACAAAACAAAAACACATGCATGCTGCCATACACACTGTCACATAGATATATGGACTGGCACACACATACACACACACAGATTGAACTTTGTTTTAGTCTCTCTAATCTTTTCCTACATTTGTGCTGGAGGAGAGTGGCTTCCCTGTGGTCCATTGAGCTGCTTTAGACTGCAGGTAATGCAGCAGGGCTTTCCCTTCCCTCCCCTGCAGATGATTTCTTGTGTCAGCGGAAAGTGAACTGACATCACTTCCTCCTAGTAGTGCCACACAGAAAGGAAATAGGTCACTCTTTGCTGACGGGGGCAGAGACACACAAAGAGATCTGTTGATCTCCATGACAGCTCACAGATAGACCCCATACATACAGAGTCAGAGTCCCAGGCCAAGACAGGGGCCCACCAGGCCCTTGTCTTAGCCTGGGCCCTAGGCAGCCACTTATGCCACCTTATGGGTAATCTGGCTCTGGATATTGTCTTCATATATTGCTTTTTTTCTCCAACAGTAAATTACAAAAATAAGGCAAACTAAAGGGCACATTTAAGCTGAGCCACACTTAGATAAACAATATTTCAAAACTCTTAAAGTTTTACATAAGGGCACAAGTATATGACTCTTGACACATGTATAACAAGCGTGACTGCTTGTCTAAGTTGGAGTAAAAGATTGTTATGTAATTCGTCAAGTAGTCCAGGCCCTCAGGCTTCATTCTGCTGTTTCATTCTCATAAGCTCTACTTGGCTCTTCTTCCTCCTGTTGTACACTATGCAGGCGATAACAGTGCATATGAGAGCTAGGCAAACCAAAACTATGACTATAATCACAACAACTAGTAGGCTGTTTCCACCACGCTCTTCTTCAAATTCATCATCATACAGCATGCTGGTTGGTTCTATGAAGTTATCATCTGCAGTTGGTGTTACATCTATAAACTTTAAAGTGGTATCAACCTTGTTAGGTGTTTGGGAAGAAAATGGAAATTCACTGATGGTGGTACTTATGTCGGGCATAACAGTGGAATGAATTATATCTGCGCCTGTAGTTGACATCTCTAGTTGATGTGCATCTAAATCAGAAATCAGCATATCCTTGAAAGGTGGGTTGGTACAAACTAGCTGACTGTTGTTTCCAACTTTGTGCTTGTTTTGGGATACCCACTTCTGGAAGGGACGGAGATTGTTGTCACACCTCCATGGGTTGTAGAAGAGCTTGACTTCATTCAAGTTTTCCAGAGAATCAAAAATACCCTCTGGGAGATTTTCCAGTGAGTTGTTTTGCAGTTGGATTGTCGCTAAATTGTACAAATCTGCAAACAGACCTGCAGGCAGATGCTCGATTTTATTGGTATGAAGGGAAATTGTCTGTAGCCTAGGTAGACTCCGTAACACATCTTGTTCCAAAGTTGTTAAGGCATTTGTATGCAAAGACAATTCTAGGAGATCATCTAATCCATAAAAAGCATCACTGGAGATGAACTGGATTTTATTCCTGCTTAGAATGAGTATCTGGGTGTTAGTTAGGTTCATAAACACATAATCTTCAAGTCTTTCTAGTTTGTTGTCATATAACCAAAGTTCCTTTAATTTAGGCAGTGCCCCAAATACTCCAGTTGTGATTTCCTTTATAGCATTTCCATGCAGGGTAAGCTTGGAGAGCTCTGGTAAGTTCATTAAAAGGCCCTGGGGCAATGAGACAAGCTTGTTATTTGATATGAATATTTTTTGTAAATTTGGGTTGTTGGAGAATGTATCGGCTGGTAGTTGACTGATGTAGTTGCTGTGCAAAGCCACCTCTTGAAGACTGCTTAGGTCATTCAATAATCCATCTGGAATGTCCTTGAGGTAGTTTTCATACAGTCTTAGAGTCTGAAGGTTAGTGGCTTTATCAAAAATATTTGAAGGTAGATGTTCAAGATAGTTTTTAGCTAAATTTAGTTTAGCAAGTCCAAACATATGATCAAAAACTCCACTGGGTAACGATCTCAAGTTATTCCCCTGCAACTGAAGTTCTTTCAAACTAATTAGAGGAGCAAACAGCAAACGAGGAAGCTGACTAATTTGGTTGTTTGCCAAAATTAGGGTTTCTAATTTTGTTAGGTCTTCAAATAGAGATTCAGGTATCTCTTGCAGTCTATTGTTGAGCAAACTCAGATAACGAAGGGAAATCAAGTTGGAGAGTGCTTTGGATCCTAATGTGGACAATTCACTTTTTTCAATCCTGAGAATCAGCAATGCGGTCATGTTTTCTAAAATGCCATCTTGAAGTTCTGTAACTTCTGTGTTGATTATCAGAAGACTTCTGATATTTGGAGGAATAGATGTAGGAATTTCCAAGACATCTGATCCAGAACATTCTACTTGTCCTGGTCTAACACATTTACACTCATCTGGACACTGACCAGAAATTGAGGGTATAGCAAGAAAACAGAAAATTCCAATGATGCAATATTTCCACGCCATGATACCTATACAACAAAAAAAGAGAGCAATGTTAGAACTTTGACTAAGCTACTTCTTCTTAAATTTTAAATAACATTTTAAGACGTTATTAACATTGCAAAAAAGTAATTAACACCATAATGCTACTTGCTGTTTGCATTGTAAGCATGTCATTACCAACTTGAAATGCACAAAAGGTTTGTTTTAAAAGTGCAATGAATAGCATAAATATGTTTGATAAAATGGGTACCGCTGATTTGGGTACAGTTTATATAAATGTAATAAACAACTTAGCCAGGATTTTTGTTTTATTTGGCAATAACCAAATAAAAGTGTATTCTGTTTTATCCAACCATTAATTTAAACAGTTTCCAACCACAATTATTCTCCCATACAATATTGGAGTATGAACAGAGTGTCACAGAGTATGAACCTAACTCTTATTGCGGATGCTAACGAGGCTGCCAGAGGGAGACGTACACCTTTAGCTGCCACCACCAATATCTTTGCATGTGCAGCATTTCATCCTGAAACGTTGCCTGTACAGACTTCTTGTACCATGACCATTTCAATTACTGACGTGATCATGATTCTGCAAATGTGTTCCATATACCCCTAAAAATACAGTGATGTTATTTTCCTTAAACATTCCAATGCCCTAAATATATATAAAAATAAACACCCCCACCTTACTTTTTCTGTAAAAGTAAAGAGATTACTTAACTTTCAATCCGTCAGCAAAAGCGCCACAGCTCATATCCACCTTCATAGAAAAGCAATGAGAGACAGGCAGCTGTGCTGGCAATGCTTCTCAAAGAGAAACATTGATTCCAGTGCTTGTCTTAGAGAGGCATTGCTTTACACTTTGTGCTACAGCATAAAGCAATCAGTAATTTCCATTTACAATTGACAGCGGGCTGAGTGCAACTTAGAATCCTTATAAGAGTGCCAATTTCACTTTGAATCAGCACTTCTATTAATTTAAAAAAAGAGACACTCTGTTAACCCCTAAAGCACTTTATCAATCGGAAGTGCTTTATTGGGTTTGGAGTGTTCCTTTAAGGGGATTTGGAAGAGAGTTGCTATTTGATCCTGAGTTGCCAACAATATTATACAATGCAGGCGAAAGAAGGTTTCATAGTAATAAAAAGGAGCGCATGCATTTTTTTCATTAACCCACACTATTTTGAGAGACACTATGTACCTTTTTGTGGACTGTGACTACTCTGAGATTAAATCATTGGAAGTGACTCAATTCAAATCAATAAGACTGATGCCTCCTTTAATGTGGGGAAACAAAATACAGGGTTTGCATTCTAATTCATGTATATACCACAATTACATTGCTCAGAAAAGGTGCAGTTAATTTTTTCCTTTAACCCACAAAAAAAAGAAAATCATGAAAATTGACTTCAGATGTGCTTTTAAAGTATCCTTATATGACATATATAGCTCTCTCAAAAAGAAATTGCATTCAAGACACATACTACACGCTTTGCTCATGCATCTGTAACCACATGGGTTAATACTGACATCCAACCATTCCATAATAATAAAAAAAACACACTATAGGCTTAAATGCCAATAGATAATATAAGGGGCCCCTCTCCGAAAATAAAAATGGATTTATTCAACATTTGTGGCTTTTAGTTACGTAACTACTTCTTGTGCTCATCAGAAAAGCAATATCAAATAACTATATATTAAAAAGAAATAATAGGTTTATTGCATCACTTAATTATGTAACTATAACAGCTGCATGTTATACCTTTATAAAACGTCAATATTTTAAACGATTTTGTTGTTTTAAAGGCAGACTGTCCCTTCCAAGGATTTTTAATATTATGGTTACTGTTCCCCTATATTTAATAAATATGTACTTGAGAGGTATCAAAGTAACATTAAACTTCGAATTTAACACCTCCTTATCTTGGAACTTAACACTTACATCTTGGCTTTCTGCCAGTTATTGTTATACGCTCAGTCCTTTGCATGAGTAGAGAACGTATTCAGAGAAGAGGAGAAATTAGGCAATCAGGGTTTATTTACTTAAGTGTGAGAATTGTCAGGAATTGAAAGTGAATTTAAGGCCAAACTAGTCAGATTGGAAGTATAGTTGATTAGGAGAATTTTTCAACATCGCCTACTTTGACCTTAAATTTGAAAATTGATTTGAATTACTGACAATTTTTAATTTGGTAATGACATGGATTAATGAGCACCTTTCCCCCTTATATCCTGTGTCACACTACACAGTTGATTGAGTAATGTCAGGATGCTCTATTATAATAGCTGGCCTGTGATCCTGATTTGTATCTTCTTCTTGTTTCCCGCTCTGCACTCCATATCCTTGTCTTTCTGACTGTTGGAAAGTGTTTGTTTAATCAAGTAACACCTTTTGACCAGCTAATGCCAAATGTGCTTTACGTTCTTTGAATATGCAATTGACAGGACATGACTGTGTTATGTGAAGACAACCCCTTTTTGGATGTGTACAGAATTTGGTTATAAGATCTGTGTTTTCCCCATTAAAATTAGGAGCAGTATTTTGTCATACACTTATGTGAATGAGTACTGCTCTCCGAGTTCGTATTTCTGCTGTGTCCATTCCTTGTCTTCATACCTGAGAGAAAACATTGCTGTCTGCTGAATTTAACCCCTTAAGGACCAAACTTCTGGAATAAAAGGGAATTATGACATGTCAGACATGTCATGTGTCCTTAAGGGGTTAAACCACAACAGGTAAATACTGCTGAATGTTTCTCTTCTCCTCGTTAACTTAACACACTTAAAAGAAAATACAGAAACACATGAAAAAGAAGGTTAACACAAGTTCTAAGTGATTTGCAATGTTTTTTAAACTGTGTAATTTTCAAAGAAGAGACAGTTGCACTTTAAATAGTTTAGAGAAACTATAATTTTTCATTTATCATATTTATTTGTCCTTGCTAGGCTTGGAAATTCCAGTGGCTCCTGGCATGCAAGACTTTCAAAGACAAATAGTGCCGTATAAAATATTGTAAAGCAACTGTGCAATTTCTCCCTAGCTTTTTTGAAGTTGCTTCTAAATGGGTTAAATAATGATTTACAAATGCTATATTTATATGATCCGTCTGGCAACTCAAACTTGTGTCTTGTTTTGCCTTGGTTTTCAGATATTACTCTATAAACAAAGAATTAAAGGACCAGTTTGGGCACCATTACAACTTCATCAACATTAAGTTGTTATGGTGGCAGGAGGTCCTTGTTGCTGGCTCACCATAAAGAGTTAACCTACTCACGAACGGTTAAACCCTATGTCTGTGTTCGAGAGGAAATTGCTCTGCTTCTCCCTTGTCCTTCCCTTAACGGAAATCTTATATATTGTAAGACTGGGGCAGCAGCAGACAGGGGCCCTGCTGATTGGCTTAGAGTGGTCAGCCGACCGCTAAGACATCAGTAGCTACCCATTTATAAAAAAAAAGTGGAGAAGTGCAAATTTGTTTAGACATGCCCCCAATGAAAACATGCAGCAAAAAATGCATGCATGTTTTCATTGGGGATACATCTGCTAAATATTGGGTTTTTAATTATTTTCCCCTCCACAGAGTATTCCACTACACTAAACACTAAATGTGTGTCTGTGTCAATATGATACATTGTTATTGTTCCAAATTACATTGCAGTTGCATAAATTGTTATTACTAAGTCGCCTAAAATGTCTCAGAACAGCCTTGCCCCTGGTCACATCCCCACTCAAACCTCTAAAAGTGAAGTGTCCTTCTTTGACCATTTGAAGTGTTGGGAGGTTTGTAAATCATCTGATATAATTTAGGATGGTGAGGCTTGATCCAAGCAGTGTAACGTAACAAAGATCAATGAATGTTGTTTACTGGACACTGGATATTTTTCCTGCCTGGTTTTGGTTACAGTTGTTTGTTTCTGGTCTCTTAACAAGTGCCACGTTTACTGGGGATGCCCTGTTGTATTGTTTTATTTGCTGGAGATATCTTCATTCTGCATCGTTGGCCATGGAACCTCACACTGATTATTCATCTCTCAGCGCATTTGGTGAACATTAGGAAATTGTAGTTATAATGTTTCTATTGTATAAACCCGTGTAAAACAAGCCAAAGGGAGTCAGATACGTTCAGGCTAGGCTGATTAAAACCATGCGGTGCTTTAGCTCAAGCTGCCAATTAGTTTTTTAAATAAAATTATCCATATTCTTTTAAGATAAAAATAGATGTGAGCTCAGCCGTCCAGCTGCTCATGATGAGGATTAGCTGTACCAGGTACACAGCTCCAGATACTTTTTTTTTTTTTTTAACCCAAATTCTCTTGTATATGTAGTCAAGAAGAAGTTTAATAAGAGATGGAAAAGAGGAAAGGAAACACCAATGGAACCTCCTTGTCAAGCCACGAGAACAACCCACAGAATAACATTGGTGCACTCTGCAATCTTTTCCTCGTTTGTCTTTTGCATATTTTATGTATAATTCCAGGTTATCCGAGTTAGGGCGCTTTTAATGTATGTAACACTGTTCAGGGGATCAGATTATCTTCCGGTATTGCAGCTGAGTCCGGGGAGTGACACCCAGGTCAGAGCCAGACCGCAGTGAGAATATTACACTCACCGTGACATCTTAGGACAGCCTATAAAGGTGCGGTAGGCAACCTTCGGCACTCCAGATGTTGTGGACTAAATCTCCCATAATGCTCTTACAAACATAATGCTGATATAGCATTGGGGGAGATGTAGTCCAAAACATCTGGAGCGCCAAACTGCGCCTACTCCTGGTACAGAGGACCTTGCAGGTAGTGAGACATGCTGGGAGAGAAAGTCAGAGATGGGTTCCTAAAGAAAATGCAGTGAATCATGTGCACTGCAACTAATTAGCATTATTGCAAAGTTAATGGTATAGAGTGTAGCATCCACCAGTTTTAGCTCTGAGAGTGACTTAGAGCTACAGTGATATGTAACATCCACACATAATAAGCCTGACCCTCAGAGCTGTCAAATAGGGAGTCAAAACTGTTTCTTCCAGTGTGCTCACTGCATACATAGCATGCATCTCTCCTCCCTGTCGCAGAGCTAAATCGGTGAACTTGGTTGTGTAAAATCTACAATATAGGTTGGTCTTCAACTTTCTCCAGTACTACTTTGTATTCTCAGTTCAGCCTGGTGCAGATGGACCTACGCTGATCACTGCCAGGTGAAAAAAACAAGAAATCTGCTTACCACACTGGAACAGTGGAGAGAGGGATCCAGGCACCAAAATGTTGGACAGAGAAGCTAAACAAATAGAGACTTTCCAGCATGCCTCCCTTACCATTGCCACATACTTCCCAAATGTCCTAATTTCCCTCTTTTATAGGAGCTCAGTATTCTTGTGTCTGGATTTATAAAACATGACGAATTCCATTTATTTATTGATTTCATCAGACATACCGGGCAAAAATTCTTATACTTTAGCTGCTATTATTTCTTATTTTCTGTTTTACATATTTTGCAGGTTTTTGTTAAGATTTTACTGTGCTTTCTAAAGGTGATTATTCTTTTAAACCCTGAATTTAGTTTCATGTAGAAATGTGTAGGCACCACACATATCAGAGTTCCACAGCAAACATACTACAGTAGTGTGCTCTTAAAATACTATAAATGTGTTTAGAAATCAGTTTGTGTAAAAAAGATTGTCCTTGTTCTAAATTCATTTACATCAATTGTGTTAGTAATTCAACAATTTCTAAAATATCTCACGGAAAAACCCTGTCATGACCACAATCCCACTCAAAGTTCTCCTCTTTGTCCACTTGAAATATTAGATAGAGGCTGTGGTAGGTGTAGGGCGGGATGGGGGATGTAGTGTGTACAGGTGACATAGAGGCTGTTGTTGGTGCAGAAGGGGCATTGGAACTGTGGTGGGTGCAAGTGAGCCATAGGGGTTGTGGTGGGTGCAAAGGGGAATTAAGATGGATACAGGGATGGATACAATCTGAGGTGGGTGCAGCGAGGGATGAGGACGGTAGTGGGAGCAGGGGGTCATAAGAGATCTAATGGTTATGTAGGTACAGGGAGGGATAGCGACTAAGGTGGGTGTAGATAGTAAGAGGGTCTCTGGTGGCTTTAGTGTATACAGGGAGGGACAAAGGCTGAGGTGGGTGCATGAAGGCAAAATGGCTGTTGGGGCTGCAGGAGGGCATGGGGGCTGATGAGTGTGCAGGAGGGGCATAGGGGCTGTGGTGGATGCAGGGGGCACTGGGGCTGTGGTCGGTGCAGTGGGTCATAGGAGTTTTGGTGGGTGCACAGGGACTGAGGTGGGTGCAGGGAGGAATGTGGGCTGTGGTGAGTACAGGGGGGTATATGGGCTGTAGTTGGTGAGGTAGGTACATGGAGGAATAGAGGCTGAGGTAGGTACAGGAAGATATATGGGCTGTTGTTGGTGCCGGAGGGGCATAGGAACTGTGGTGGGTACAAGTGAGCCATAGGGGTTGTGGTGGGTGCAGGGGGATTGAGATGGATCCTGGGATCACTGCCTGGTCTCACAGAGAAGGTGGACGTCACCTGCATGTTGATAGGCTGCAGGGGTCCATCAACTTATCACTGAAATGTGTGTAAAACAATGGAGTTCTGGCTGTGGTGATCTCTCCTCAGACAGAGAGCATGGCTGTTCAGCCTGGTCCTCAGTCTGTAACCAATGTGACTGAGTGGTCAGTCCACACCTGTAAGTGAATACATACAACAATCAACACACTAAAATTAAAAAATATATAAATTCATAGTTCTATAACTGCATGTGTTAAAGCTGGACAGATTGTTGTGATGATTTGGAAAATGACTTACAAGCCTAGAGCAAAAACAACAGAGCCGGAAAAAACTCCAATTTGTGTAAAATATAAAATTTCAAAGGAATGTGAAAACACAAAATAACAGAAACACAAAATACGTATGAGGTCAAAAGCTATTGCATGCACTTAACTTTTGTTGGTGCCTAGAGTGTCCTTTTATTGTCTCTTTTTGGTATGAGAAATTATTAGTTTATGGGTGTTTTACTTTCTAGGTGGTAGACTTGACCAAACTCTAATCATATGTGATAAATACAGTGGTTAATCTCTCAGAGGTTTGTAATGCCCGTTTCATCATTCAAAATATGTGCTCATGTCAGCAATCGACCCAGAGTGAGGGAGTAAGCATCGTCTACTGCTCTGTCTGCCCGGATCTATTCCAGTGTCTCTGAATGATCTTGGATCAGTTGTTATAACGAAGACAGATGTGACTGCCAAGCATAACGCCAGCGTCTTAATTTAATTCTGTTCTCCAGTGGTAAGCAGCCAGGCAGATAAACTGCTCCTGTTTTTAATAAAGTTTGGGAGAAGTAGATGTTGTTTTCTAGACATCTACTACTGTTGGCAATTTGGACTATGGCAAACGTGTGTCTCTGTGTTATGTGTGTATTTGCATCGACAATGCTAGAATCTGTGTATCCAGGTACAGTTTTTTATTATGCTCACTGAAATTACAGTTAAAATATAAATTGTTCATAGTTTCTTTTTCTTTTCTTTTAATTAAAAAGTCAGTAGATACAACCAGTACTTGCTTAAGGGGCCATGTAGTGCATTGGAGCCTGCATGGGGTCCTGCAATGTCATTTGGTCCAATTGGATGCTCTCCTAACCAGATCACACTACAGATATTTGACAGAGAGAGCACCTTACCTGAATACACTTTGCTCTTGAGTAGCAGCACTTGGTAGGGTGGTTTTAACATCATTATAAGCCCCAGGGCAAAGCAGTGCACTGGGGCTGTGCCTACACAACCACTCATGAGAATAAAAATGTAAGCTACCGATAAAATGAATACATCTTTACTCATGGGCATGCTGGGCAGTTGCCTGGGGGGTTCACAAGCATAAGGGCCCCAGCACGATGGTCATGGGCCAAGGCCGACAGAGAAGCTCTTTGGTTGAAAAGGCAGATAGCGAGACCAGCTCGGCATGGGCCGGCAGGGGAAATGAAAGGATATCCCCTGTTGGCCTTGGCTCATGGCAATTGCGGTGGGGCCCCTGGGCAACTGCCCAGCATTTCCATGTGTAAAAACGGTACTGGAAAGATGTGACATTCAGATCACTTCTTCATAGCTCTAATAGGCCATGCAGGAGTAATGAGGAAGCTGTACAAGTACAGAATGTACCCACTGGATCGCGGCAGAGCCGCAATACAGTGGGGTAAAGATTCTAACATATAAACATTAATGTAATGTAATATAGCCAGTATTTTCATGTGATTGTGTGTCTGGCAATGTGAGTATGTTTATAGGGTGGGTGGATGGGTGTTATAATGCTGTGTGTGTATTTGGCAACATGTGTGTATGTTGAAGGTCTGACAGTGTGTATTCAGCACTGTTTATTGGTGTGTGTCTGGGAGTGGTATCTGTGTGAGTGTGGCTGTCTGCCTGAGTGTGTTTGTGTGTATTTGTATGGCAATGTATATCTGCGATTGTGTGTCGATAATGTTGGTTTGGGAACCTGTGTAGAGTGGGTCATGTTAGTTGATCAATAATGGAGCCCCTGATAGCTTTGGAAGCAGCCTAGCTGTTTGTACTGACACCCTTAGCATTCTAAGATTTGTAGTTGTCGTCCATTGCTTATTACATAAGGTTTTAAGATAGTATGTAGAGGGACACAATCATTCCTAAGATAAAAGAATGGATAAAAGCAATGTCAGCAAATGTATATTTTCATTTTAACATACTCTTGAAATTCAGTTTATGTGTATATATAAAAAGACCTTCCTGACCACATATTACTTGAGTTCCCCTGCTTTTTGAAATGCAGCAGAGGAATTTTCCAGTATCTGTCTGGGTAATGTACCATTTAGACGTACACACACACACATACATACACGCATACATATACATGCATCACACATTTTTTTTCCCATATGAGAGTTTACTCCTAAACTATGTTTCTGGAATCTTCGAGCACGGCAAACACGACACAGTAAATTCGATTTTGTACAATACTACTTAGCGCTACCAGTACAACATGTTTTTTTTAGATTCATAGCTTTGAAACGCACAATTAAACCAGTGTGTTTTTTTTTTTCTTGCTGTAAGATCCCAGTGTGAACAGTAAGAAAGAATCAAAATGCAGTAATCCAGGCAGCAGCCTCTTATCCTCATATGCCCTCCCATCCTAAGGGTCCAGCAGCTATGCTAACTTCCTGATGCAGTCTGAGAAAGAGTTTCAGCCAGCAACTGACTACTGCAATTATCTTTTCTTCTCAATGGGAACCGATAAAGGTTACATAGTAAATGACCATAATGGCACATAACACAGACGTTCCATCCTTGGCCAGTCTATCCACATCGCTGCAAGAAAACTGGTAGCATGTATAGGGGTGTATTGACTAAACAGCTAACTGTAGTGAATTGAAATGCAAACTTTAATTTAAACTGGAATAAACTATTTTGTGATTTGGTTTACCTTACACTACAATTCACTGTTTAGTTAATAACCCCCATTACATTGCCAGCATAAGCCATGCACACATCTTTTGGGTACCTAATCCTTAAAAAGTAGATTTATATGTAGAGACAAACCTATATCCCACACAGATTGTATGACAGTATTTGCATTTGCATGTATACTTGGGTCCTTCATTGTAAAAATACCTGCATTCAGATATATCAGTGACATGCTATTACGATGTCTGCAACATTATTCCCATGCCAGTGTGTGTATTTGGGTTTCCTGTCTTATTATAGCACACTGATAGCACTAAGACTTTGTGACATTAAAATCGCCTAGCCCTAATAAATGGAGACTATATAACAGCAGCAGTTGATGTGGAGATAGCTCATTTTAAATGAATTATGTGGATAGAGTGAAATGTGGAGGTATCTGGTAAGTTTATAAGCCCCTAAAATTACAGACAGACAGGGTTATTTTTTTAGGGTTATTTCCTAAAGTGAGAATTCAAAATTATTTTTACATTTAAGACAAAAGTAACGGAACTGGAAAGATAACTGACAGAGAATTTCTGCAATTTGACTATTTTGGAATTAAATTTGAAAATCACTTTGAATTCTCACTTTAAGGAATAACCACAAGAGACAGGCTCCTCCGTTAATCATGAAAACAACTATAAAACTATAAAAGTCAACATTTATAGAAAGTGAATTACACATACATATGGTGTGTGTGCACGCAACTGTATATAAAGAATGTCTCATGTCCAAAATAGAACGATTACACAAAGTATGGGAAGCTGTCTTAAGACACACAGGATTCCAAAAAAAACACTTACATTGCCAACAAGTATCATGAATTCATATAAAATGAATCCATGGTCCTCTTCCTGTAGAGCATGGGTCGTCAACCTGGTCCCTACCGCCCACTAGTGGGCGTTTTAGGATTCCAGGTGGGCGGTAGGGATTTCTGAGGCTAAATCCTCTTTTTAAGAGGATTTCTCCTTTTGGGCGGGCGCGAGCGGCTCTGCATGCGCAAGTCTTCAGTGACCGGCAGGAGGAAGCGCTCCCTCCTGCCAGGCCACCTTCTGGACCCCCCGGCATGGCAGCGTTCTAATCAGTCGCGGCGAGGGAGCTCTAACCTCTCTGCTCTGCTCCCTCGCGCGATGTTTGCTGATGCCGCGGGAGCCGGAATATGATGTCATATTCCGGCTCCCGGCATCCGTAGACAGTCCGCGAGGGAGCAGAGCAGAGAGGTTAGAGCTCCCTCGCTGCGTCTGATTAGCCGCCCGCCTAAGTGAAGCCCCACTGGACCCCAGGGACAGATCCACACCAGCTCTCCAGGTAGGGAGGCTGGGTGGATATTTAATATTAATAATTTGTGTGTACATGTGTTTGTCTCTAAGTGTATGTGTGTGTGTCTGTAAGTGTATGTGTGTGTGTCTGTAAGTGTATGTGTGTGTGTCTGTAAGTGTATGTGTGTGTCTGTGTCTGTAAGTGTATGTGTGTGTCTGTGTCTGTAAGTGTATGTGTGTGTCTGTGTCTGTAAGTGTATGTGTGTGTCTGTCTGTAAGTGTATGTGTCTGTCTGTAAGTGTATGTGTCTGTCTGTAAGTGTATGTGTCTGTCTGTAAGTGTATGTGTGTGTGTCAGTGTGTGTGTGTCTGTGGGTCTGTCTGTGCATGTGTGAGTGTCTGTAAGTGCATGTGTGAGTATGTGTATATTTGTGTGTATGTGTTTCAATGTGAGTGTGTGTGTGTGTGTGTATGTGTTTGCCTGTGAGCAGAGTACTTGTAGAATAGAAGAAAGAAGGTGCAGAGTACTTGTAGAATAGGAGAAAGAAGGAGTAGAGTACTTCTAGTATAGGGGAAAGAAGGAGTAGAGTACTTCTAGTATAGGGGAAAGAAGGAGTAGAGTACTTCTAGTATAGAGGAAAGAAGGAGTAGAGTACTTGTAAAAAAGGAGAAGGAAAGAAAAGGAAAAGGAGAGAATTGTTGTTGACTAATAATAGTAAGTGGGCTACCTAGCTCAGCCTTCCTACTGGGCATTGCTATAAGGAAGGTTAAAAAATAGAAAAAAGGGGAAAAAGGTGGGAAGGGGAATTGAGGAGGGAGAGGAGGGGAGCTGACGCACAGATGAGAAATCATTTTATGAGCAAACAAAGAAGTCTTCCGATTATCACTGAAAGAGGAGACCTTCGTTTGTTCCTTATGAAAATCGAACCAGATATCAAATATTTAGTCTCGCAGCATCAACCTCAAGGATCTCATTAATCACTAGTAAAGGTAAGTTCAATTTACTTTATTGCTTCCTCATTAAACTTTATAAAGTTAAAAACATTATAAACATGCATAAAGTAGAAATAAAAAGATAAATGTACGTTCATTTATGTATTTTTTAAAACACCCTCCTTTCTAAAAAATATTCCGCGCTTGCGCGAAAACTGGTGGGCGGTAAGGAAATTTTTCCATCAAGAAAGATGCATTAGTGGGCGGTAAGTGGAAAAAGGTTGACTACCACTGCTGTAGAGTTTAGGGATGGGCTAGTTATCTTTGGTATATCTTTATTTTTTTGTTGTTTTAATAGTCTTTAACAATGCAATGGTCATTTATTGGGAACATCAGACATGCTTTGCAGGTCATGTGACAAGCATGGCATCATTGGATTGCCAAACCTACTTTGCTGCCCAAATGGAACAGATTTTCAGTATCTTTAAGTAAACAGTTACAGAAAGAGAGTTGTCTAATTTTCATGAGTGCTAAAACAAGGCTCTTTCGCATCTGTAAGATGCACCACAGTTGCAGAGCCAATGACCAGTTTATTTTAAGTTGTTCTACATAGATTTAACATAAAGTTTTTCATTTGTATATATTTACTGGTGAGTCAATTCCTTGGTTCTTAACTCCTGGAAAGACTTCACTGGTTGAAATGGTCCTATTACATTTTTCATGCGCCAAGCAACTGAGTAGCAAACTGTTTATGTTTTATGTAGCGGCATTGCCTTCCCCACAGCGGAGGAAATCCCCATAACACTGGGAAGTGTCTAGTAAACATCCTTTCTGCGATGTATTGTGTTATATGTTATATAGCAGTGATTAAATGTTCTCTGAGCTAGTTTTGCAAATCAAAAAATGGCCATAGCTATAATTTGGAACTCTGAAGATAGAAAACTACTGAATTAAACAAAGAGTATGGTGAAGTTAACAACAGATGAGCTTCCTGTCTGGCATGTTACATGATCTAAGACCACCCTGACATCAAGTTATTGAAGGAGCAGTCTAAGCACCATAAGTACTTCATGTAGTTGTAGTGGTTATGGTACTAGTAGGCTGCTGTGAGTGATAGTCTGAAAGTGCCAGTGAAAACAATCCAAAAATAGCTGAAACTGATGTTGCTATTGTGGAAATTCCAAATTAGCAATCTACTCAGTCGGGGATGAGGTTCCAAAAGGATCTTGCACATTGATCATATGTTTAGAGCCATAAGACCCAGTAAAACTGAGGCAGCATTCTTGGCCTAAACTCACCATAACAACTACAATACCATGCAGTGGTTATAGTGCTTATATGGAAGAACATGTTAACTTTTCCATTGCCACTTGTGAGAAGAATTGCATTGCTCAATATAGACTTATCTGTAAAATGTCCAAACCTGCAGCAATCACTGTGGAAACCAATGAAATGCTACTATGGAGTTACCTACAAAGAGCAATAACCCTGGCAATCAATGGAACTCCAATACAGAGTTAGCTATCAAGAGGAATTCTGGGGCACTTTTCTTTTTTTATTTGTATTTTTTTTTTTAATTTTTGTTATATATTACATAGTTACATTGGCTGAAAAGAGACATGTGTCCTTCAATGTCAGCCTTCCTCACATCTGTTTTTGCTGTTGATCCAAAAGAAAGAAAAAAAACATCTTTACCTACATTGAATTTTATCTGCCATTTGAGTGCCCAGCTCCTCAATCTATCTAAATCCCTCTGCATAAAAGTAATATCCTGCTCACATTTTATTACTTTGCAGAGTTTTGTGTCATCTGCAAACACCAGAACCCTGAGGGACACCACTTACCACTTTTGTCCAGTTTGAAAATTTACTATTAATGACCACTCTCTGTACTCTATATTTAGGCCAAGAACAAGAATTTTCATCTAGACCAGTTTCATTTAGTTTGAACAATAGCCTATTGTGTGGAACCACATCAAATGCCTTTGCAAAATCCAAGTAGGTCAAATCCATTGCGACACCCTGATCTATACTTCTACTTACTTCTTCGTAGAATGCAATTAAGTTAGTATGAATGACCTACCTTTCATAAAACCATACTGTTTATTGCTAATAACAATGTTCTTCACAATTAATTCCTGAGTATTATCCCTTAATAATCATTCAAGTACTTCCCCAGCCACAGAAGTAAAGCTCACAGGTCTATGACTTCCAGGCAAAGGTTTGAAACCCTTTTAATGTAGCAAAAAAACCTGCCTTCCTCCAATCCTCAGGTACAATTCCTGAAAGAAAAGAATCCTGGAAGATTAAAAACAGAGCTTCACTTATTTCCACACTTAGCTCCTAAAGTACTCAGGGGTGAATACTGTCAGGCCCCAAAGCTTTCTTTACATTAACTTTCTTTAGTTGCTGCAGCACCTTGTCATGAGTCATCCAGTCAATATTTTTCTGCAACTTTTTTTGCAGCAATCATTTGCATATCTCTTGCCGTAGCTTCCTCCTTAGCATATACTGGGTTATTTAAAATTTCTGCCTTTTCTTGGTCCTTATTAACTAACACACCAATCTCGGTTTTCAGTGTATGTACACTTTCATTTTTTGTTTTTATTAGACTTTATGTATTTAACAAAATGTTTGGGCGGGTGGTTTTGCTCTCTTTTGGCTATCACTTTCTCATTTTCTAGTTTAACCCATTTAATCGTTTTTTTGCATGCCTTATTGGCTTCCTTATATCTTATATAGGATGCATCTGATTTGCCATTTTCTTATGCTTAGTTTCTTGGTTTACCTTCCCACTAAGCCACATTGGTTTTCATTTGTTTCTCATTTAGGTATTACCCAATGATATATACTGAGAAATGTACCTTTCTGATATTTGTTTGAAGATATTCCATTTATCCTCTGTGTTTTTATCACTAAAGAGGTTATTCCTGCAAATATATTGTAAAGCTGCCCTTATCGTATTGAAATTGACCTTTTTAAAATCATATGTTTTAGTATACCCCATGTGCATTTGCATTTTTGAGTTTATTTCAAAAAACACAATTTTGTGATCACTATTTCCCAACTGCTCCTCTACTTGAATGTTTTGCCAAAAGATCAACATGTTATTGTTATAACCAGGTCCAGACAAGCATCCTTTCTAGTTGGTGCATTAATGATAGAGGATATTTCTTACCCCATAGTGGCATATAATGTAATAAATATTGAGTGAATTTAGAACTGTGTGTAAATTCACATCAAAATAAAAACGTTAATGAAAGAGCTACAATTAGTAAAATGTCACACATCCCTCTTATCAAAAGGGCATTATTATATTGTGCATGTCCCAGCCTTTTTGTAAAGTGATTGTATAATACAATGGTCACAGCCCCGCCCCCTCTCATTACACAGTGTACTGTATCTCATTGTACGTACATTTGATGTACACTCATGTTGTACACTGTTCTATATTAGAGTTACTGAAGACAGTTACTTGTAGAAGGATTTCCGGTCTTAAACATTTTCATGTGTGCCTAATATTGTGTTTTCCAAGGGATTTCAATGCTTTCCAAATACAAAATCATTTTAAGTGGAATAAGCCAACAAAGATATTTTTAATTCATTTGTAATCTCCGCTCTTAAACCAAATGTTTTGGACGAAGGACTTTGCTTGGCTTGTAAACTATTTGTATGAGGCATTGAAGTGAGTGTGTGACAGGACAGCTGTAGAGTTCATTATTGTCCTCTTTTGAATAGTTCAGTAACAGGATTCCAGAGGAATTTTTTGGCCTTAAGTAGCATTGTTACATTTCTCTGTTATTTGTGTCTGAAGAAATGTTAAACTTTACTGATCTAATAATACATAGAACATATTGCCAACATTAACAACGACACAGGCTGAAGAGATGAAGAGAACAATAATATTATATACACTCATGTTCAGGTGTTCCTTGAAGCTTGAATATGGCGTAATCTGGTTACCGGTATGCTGATACATGTGTGCTATATATAACAAGAAGAAAGCAGAATGAGAAAGAAGAATAAAAGAGAAGTATACATGGTGTATTACACAGGTAAATGAAAAGAAATAACAAGGATAAAGAGAAATAATTAAATACAGAGATAAATTTGTGCTTCATTACACAATGATGTTTAGATTATTGTAGAAGTCAGGACACTGAAGATGTTATGGGGTAATGTTCACTGACTGATAACCCTCTGTTCTCTGACTGTTATGGGGTAATGAGGTAATGTTCCCTGATTGATAACCCTCATAGAATGTTATGGGGTAATGTTCACTGACTGATATACCCCATACAATGTTGTTGGGTAATGTTCCCTGACTGGCAACCCCCATAGAATGTTATGGGGTAATGTTCAGTGACTGGCATCCCTCATAGAATGTTATGGGGTAATGTCTCCTGACTGATATACCTCATACAATGTTGTGGGGTAATGGGGTAATGTTACCTGACTGGTAGCCCTGATAGAATATTATGGGATAATGTTCCCTGGCTGGCAGCCCTGGTAGAATGTTATGGGGTAATGTTCCCTGCCTGGTAGCCCACTGTTTATGAAAGAGAAGGTATGAGACAGATAGAATAAAAGGCAGAACCCATTACACAGCTCTGCCGAAAAGGTGGGCTATAGTTATTATTTTAAACATATTCTGCAGTGCTGTACAAGGGGTTAACAAGACATACTAGTAAATTCAACCAACAATTTTGATTTAAGGAGAGGTAGAGAGAGCAGAAATATTAAAAAGACGTTTTACATGACAGCCTCCTATCTGGTTACCTGTGTACTGCCTGCTTTATACAAGACAATATGTATATAAATGGGATTAAGGAGGATGAGAGAGAAAGGGAAATAATAAAATGCAAAAGGTGGGAATGATAAACGACAGATAACAAGACAGTACATAAAGGACACAAAAACAAACAAGTAGCCAAGAAAGAGCAAATAAAATAATAAAAATAAATGCAACAGCTTTCTCTCTCTGTTGAACGATGTAAGCAAGTTATCTCACTTTTCAAACTTTCTAAGGTAAAACAAATAAATGTTTAAAAAAGGTAACTGTAATGAATCCAACTATAATTATTTTTGTAACACTGCTATGGAGGACTATTTTCCAGTAAAATGAATTTGAAGTGTTAAAATTAATTTGAACATGAACAGAGTTATTGAAAATAAATCCAGAAGTCACCTACCCCTATTGTCTGATACAGTCCCAGAGAGATGCTGAAGTGCTTATGTGTCCAGTTGCTGCTAAACTGAGGAGGGTTCTTTCCCCTCCCTTTATTTAAACAGTTCAGATCAATGAATCAGCAAAGGGGATGTGTCGATAGCTGTGGATTCCATACTCCAGTTCCCCCTGAAGATTCAGGGATTTGTTTAATTTCTGCTGCTGGAGGACTCAGCCCACCTGATTAGTCTGCTGTCCTAGGAACCAGAGATGTATTCAATAATAAGCAAAGATGTTTGTGTGACCTAACTATGGGATGAGAGGACAATAATTTGCTTTCACTACAAGGATGACAAATAAACAGTGCCCTTATTTTCTGTAATCAATCCTCCATAAAAAAATCACCATGAAAACTTCATTCAAAAGGATCCCAGACTTTAAATAAGACTGAGTATTTGCAGATTTTAGTAGGGAATGGGGCTGGGAAGTTGAAATCCTGTGTGGGAACTCGTTTTAATGTTAAATAAAATAACTTCATAAATTGACCCACCCATCACGTGTACAGTGTAGAAGAATTTATTTGGAGAGATTTGGGGGAATTATTCTGATGGTTTTCATGGATTACAATTCGAATTTTGCTACAAAGTATTACTTCATCTTACAATATCACTACCTACACATGGATATATACCACACAGTCATCTTGCAATGGATGGTGTTTATGCAAAGTAAAACCATACATTCTTTCCATTCTTTCTTAATACATTAAAATTACTGTATTATTGAACATTGCAATTTACACTGGCATAATACAGTTGGTTAAGCTTAATTTTTCCAAGAGTAATGTTGATAGTACGCATGGCAGAAGGATGATATACTACTTAACATACCAATACATACAGGGATTTTCTGTCACACGGTGTGATGATAGGGTAATTGTGTCATTAAAGGGCACTTTAAGCATTTTATGTAATTGAATTGGTTATCATGTTTGGAGTCCGCCGGCACTGCCCCTCCAGATAGTGTTAAAGGAACTCTATAGGCACCAGAACCACTACAGCTTAATGTAGTGGTTCTGAGACTGTTCCTGCAAAAATTCCTGGGTTTGATCCTGCAAAGATTAAACACTACCCATAGAAATGCATTCCTTCAATAAATTTTTATGAAGAGATGATTTTATGATTTGCTGTACATATGCAATAGCCTCCCAATGCTTCGCTGTAAGGAAGCATTGGATTGGCTGAAAACATCAAGACTGATGATCTCGGCCAGGGAGAAGGAATGATCACGGCAAGACTAACGCACCATGGGAAGAAAGGTAAGTAAATCTGATTTTTTTTAAATTCACCTGGAGGGGGGTGTAGGGGGGGTCACTTACCTGAGGCCCCGCCGATGTCCCTCGGCGGTGGTTTCTGCTCGCCGCCGCTCCTCCCAGTGATTACGTCAGCCGGTGGGCGAGACTGATCGCGCCCGCCAGCTTAGGAAACCTAATGTGCATGCGCGGAAGTTCCCTCTCTATAAAAAAACTGCAATAATTACACTTTCAGGGTAAAGAGTAGTGGGAATTGGCACCCAGACCACTCCAATGGGCAGAAGTGGTCTGGGTGCCTGGAGTGTCCCTTTAACTTTCAATCCTTCTTTTATTCTGGTGTCAGGGAAATTGTCCTTTGCTGACTCTAAGCTTACCCCTCTCACCGCTACAAATTCTCTTTTGACTTCCTTGTCTAGTGACTAATTTCTTCCATCTGTAGCCGTATGCTAACAATAGTTACATATGGTTCCTGACCTCACCTTTTACATTCACTTATTGGATTCATTCACTGCAGGTTGTTAAATATGATTCCATGTTATTCACACGTTACCGTATTATGGGTTATTATAGTTATTTGATACCTTTCCATTTTATACACATTAAATTCTAAAGGGACACTATAGTCACCAGAACAACTACAGCTTATTGTATTTGTATTTGAGTAGAATCATTACCTTTAGACTTTTTGCTGTAAACACTGTATTTTCAGTTTACATTACAGCCTAGTGATAACTTCACTGGCCACTCCTCAGATAGCTGTTAGAAATCCTTCATGGGTCATGGCTGCCTAAAATGCATCCAAACATTCAGTGTCTCCACCCTCTGCATGCAGACACTGAACTTTCCTCATAGAGATTCATTGATTCAATTCATCTCTATGAGGAGATGCTGATTGGCCAGGGCTGTGTTTGAATCATGCTGGCTCTGCCCCTGATCTGCCTCTTTGTCAGTCTCAGCCAATCCTATGGGGAAGCATTGTGATTGGGTCAGGCTTCCACTTCTGCTGATGTCAGCAGGCAGTGGACTGATCTAAAGGAAACAGAGACAAAGCAAGCAGCTCCAGACTTGAATACAAGTAAAATTTTACAATATTTAGTGACGCATGAGGGGATCAGTGTGGCTAGATGGTGGTTTTAACCCTATAGGGTCAGGAATACATGTTTGTGTTCCTGACCCTATAGTGCTCCTTTAAGGAACTATTCACAGTTTAAATAGCATTACTGCTATGCTGAGTAAGAAATAAACAAAAGTAATAAATAATATACATTTTAAACCCAGTAAGATTAGTGTTATAAAACATAAAACATGCAGAAATAAAATTTCACTTCTTGTTATGTATTGAGTCACATTGAGTTCACCTATGCATGGGAAATGGGTGAATGGAAAAATTAAATTTTTTCATTTGATAGTTTATTAGAGCAGTGTTTCTGTGGCTTTCAGAACATAGCCTTAGACTCAGTCTTCAGTTGTGAAAGTTGTTTGCAAAAAAACAAGAGTAAAAGGCACACTCTAAAAAAGGGGGAATACTTCCTGCAAGATGCTCCAGAAAGGGAGGAGGGCCAATCCCTGAAGACATCAAAAATACAATTCTACAAAACACCTTTAGTTGAGATAATTTTAGCTCTTGTAAGTTAAATCTTGCACCCTATGATGTAAGCACTCTTCACATGGTATTTAAAGGCCCTTCAGACCCCCACATTAGTTTGCTGAATTGTTTTATGGGTGAAGACTGTGTCCTCTTTTATTCATATTACAAAAAGTGCAAGGTTCAATAGAAATTGAACCTGGCTGTCAATCAGACAACCAGTTACTTCCTGGGTGTTTAGTTCAGTGGAGCTAAACTAGAGGCAGGTAGTTGCTCGGTGCCCCTGCCTTGCAAAGACTTTTCATGACCTGCCTTGGGAAGTTGGACAGCCACAGTAAGTCTGAAATGGGGAAAAAGGGGACGGCTTGCAAAGGCTTCAGATAAAATATCTGTAGCTTTTGCAAGCTGATATACAACTAATGAAAAATGCGTAATTAAAATCATGCATGTTTTAATTGGGGTATATCTACTAAACAGTGATTTATTTATTTCATTTTTTTTTTCCTTTGGGCAGTGGAGTGTCCCCTAATTGGTCGGAGTTCTCATTGCTAGCATGTCAATTATATTTTGTCCAGTGTATTAAATATCTCTCTGCTTTCCATTAGAAAACAAAGAGTGATAAGACATTTTCTCACACTTATTCTGGCAATTTCATAGCCCTTTGTTGGACTTTGTTGTCCAATCACAAACTTCCCAATGCAGCTCAATGAGGTCTTTGCAAGGCAGGTACTCTGGACAACTGCTGCCTCTTGAGCTTAGCTCCACTGAGCAAAACAACCAGGAACTAACAGGGACAGTTGTCTAATGACAGCTAGAGGGGTGTGCTAAGGCCAATTTATAGGAGTGTAAAATTAAACCAGAGGACACAGTCTTCATAAAGTCTGAAGTGCTTTTTGGTTTGGAGTGCCTCTTTAAGTGTTTGCACCTGGTAGAAACTTTATTATGGTCTAGTGAAATAGCTGTAAAACCTGACTCTTCTCTTAGCAGCTGAATACATCAGACATGCTTCTAAACTTTGCTCTGAGAATCCCATGAGAAATGAAAGGGCACTGATGTAACTGCGCAGACAAGACTACTTCTTTGTAAAATTATACTATATGTAATACTACACAACAAATTGCTTGTATTGATGGATTATTTTATTGAACAAAAAACTAAAATGTACAAAATGACAATGAAAAAACATTTAAATATTTAAATACAAAAGACTTGTTTAATGTATAAAAAGTGCTATTCTAAGTTGCAAACAACTTGCAATCGCCATGGAAATCAATATTTCTTTCAGCATTTTGCAATTTGTCCCCCAAACAAATCACTTAGTTTGCCTTGACAAATATGGCAATCATTTTATTTTGTTTCAAGGCTTCTAAAATTACTACCACAACTTTTTTCCTTTTGAAAATATATCAAATATATAAAAGTAAATGTTAGAAAACTATGTCCGTAACTCGGGTGTTTGGTGGCAAAAAGAGTATCACTTGTCAGCCCACCAAAGACAGATTAAAAAGGGAGCACTTCTAGGGACAGTCAGTTCGGCAGGACAGGACCTTGAAATCGGGATTGTCTATATGTGCACTTATGTACCAGTCTCACTGTGAAGAAACTACCCTGTTTTGTTTGTTAACTTTGATTTTTCTCATTCGGTAGATAAAACTACCGAACACCAACCACCCCCTGGCTCATTAACTACAAAGGGAACTGCAGATTAAGTGCTCTCTCTGTGTGGCCGTCGTTCGTATTTGCTGGAGAAAATGGCGGCCATCTTGTTGCACGAAAAGAGGCAGCGGGACTTGTTCGTCGAGTGTCTGGAACTAAAATTGTACACTCGACTTCCCAAAAGCCAGTCAACTTCGCGAATGCCTGCTTCTTTTTACCGATCAGCTAGGAGAGCACTATTTGCTAGGTTTGTTCCCACGAACTAGGGGAACAAAGGCTACCCATGAGCCAGGTTTTGTTCGGTTTTAGAACTCCCCGAAATAGCCCGACCACTACCTCTGAAACTGTGGAACTGTTTTGGGCACAAGACTTTGTGTGCGGTTGGTCAAAATATGACTTCCATGGAAATCCCGAACCCCTGAACCTATCTGGGTGATTTTTGGATATGTTGGTCCCCCAGATTGGGGCTATCAGGGGATGTGACGGTTGTATGATGGGTATTTTTGGGGTGTTATTAAAATGTATGTTTTTTTGTGCCCGGAGATAATTGGGTTTAGTACAGTTCCTGACTCAATTATCTCACAGGCACAGGGGAGGGATTATCATGTTTTGTGTGGGAGTATTCTGGACTTGAGAGGCAATGTAGTTACAATGTGTATTTTGTCATAGTCCCCTCTCAGGTCCAGTGGGGAATGCCCCTGGAATATGTTACAGTAAATTCCTTGCATGGGAACTTGCATATAAACCGGCCAGTTGGCCTGAATAAATTAATTCCTCTTGTACCGTTCATCTAGTTTAGGCTGATGTTTCGGTATGCGTCTGATTGCTGGGAGAATTTACTTGATAGTGAATTTTCTTCTGGAGAACGTTTGAATCAACACCCGAACTGCAAGCTATAATCCTTCAGCTTTTAGCAGTTCGGGAGGAACCAGAAGCGAACGGGTATCTGACATACCAGAGTTCTTAACAACTGGTGGCAAGCAACGGGATTGAATGGAACTCCCAAGCAAGGAGGACTGGTGAATGGCCCAGCAGTATGAGAAGTTAAGGAGAACTACGCTGAAATATTTGCTTGAAGCTCTGGGTCAGTCGGCGAGCAACAAAAAGAAAGCAAACCTCATCAAAGACACACATACACTCACAAACACACACACACACACTCACAAACACACATTCACATTCTATCACACACACTCACAAATTGTTAATATTATTATTATTAGAATTTTTACACCCAGCCTCCCTACCTTTGGGAGAGCTGGTGTGGATCTGTTGTTGGGGTCCAGTGGGGCCGCTGTGAGGTGGGCGGCTGTTTTCACATCTTAGGCGGCGAGGAAGCTGTGTCTTGGACCCCCCTATAACAGGAGAGAGCACCGTGGGAAACACCGGGGACGTCTGAGCCGGCATTTTGGAACTGCCTTTTTTGCCGCCCCCTGGATTGTGCCACCCAAGGCAAATGCCTAGTTTGCCTTGGGCTCAATACAGCACTAGGTGGGACACTGGACTTTTATCTACTGGCTTGCTGGGCTTTGATCACTTTGCCTAATGTACTCAACCCCATACCCAATCAGATCATGCCCTGTATGACACCATGAACTTATAGATACATGTATTTGTAAAACAGAAATTATTTTTTAAACTTCTGATTAAAACAACTAAAAGCTTTTACGCAGTGTTAACTCTAGAAGTCAGGACAATATGTAGGCCTCAATTTAAGGGTGTCTAGCATCACATAAAACCTGGCAACCTCAAAACTGTCCTGAATTTGGAATTGTATCCCGCCAGTCAATATGTATTATTCTGGTGACACAAGGAAATGCCCTCAATCAGAACTCATCACGAACGCATCGCAAGCACACTCACACTCTGCTAAGTGCATATAGGGTTGTCAACCTGTGCTCAGAGACCTTTACAAGCATCCTGGTCATGTGTTTCTGAGTGAGGTTGTCCATGGTTGTCAGTCAGCCTGGCCCCCTTTTTAGACTAACCTATCCCCTTATTGAATGGCTTTTTGGCGTTGACAGTGACACACAGTGCTGGTGATTTGCATATTTATTAGGCCAAAATCTTTCAAATGCATTAGAGTTGTACAATATAGTGAGGACATTATTTTTCTAAGGATTAATTGGGGTCTACATTGCCAGGCCATTTTCTTTGTATTTTAAACATATGTCCTGCCTATATTCAGGGCCGCCACCAGAAATTTTGGGGCCCCTAACTCAGCTCAGGGTCTGGGCCCCCTGGGGCCCGCCTCCAAATACCGCCCACTGGGTGCGCCTCCAAATACCACCCACAGGAATACACACACAGACACAAACACACACACTGATACAAAAAGACAGCGATACATACTAACAGACACACATACTGAAACAGACATACACGCATACAGGCATACATACTGAGACATACACACAGGCATACATAGTGACAGACAGACACATACTAACATACATACAGACACACATGCATGAGGACATAAAGACACATACATACATACATACAGACACCGACATACATACATACATACACACACACAGACATACTGACAGACATACAGACACTGTCATCCATACACACATACATTCATAATGGCATACAGACATAAACAGACATACATTCATAATGGCATACAGACATAAACAGACATACATTCACATACAGACATACATACATACATACATTCAGACTGACATACATGCATATATACAGACATACTGACAGACATACATGCATACAGACATCCATACACACAGACATACGTTCATAATGATATGCAGGCATACATTCATACCGACATACATATATAATGACATACAGACATATATATATACATACATAGACATACATACAGACAGACATACATGCATATAGACATACATACATCCATAGACATACATGCATGCATACAGACATACATACAGACATACACATACATACATACACACAGACATACATACAGACACACACAGACATGCATGCATACAGACAGACATACATACAGACAGACAGATATACATACAGAGACAGACATACATACACAGACAGACATACATACATACATACATACATACATAGACATACATGCATGCCTACAGACAGACATACAGACATACACATACATACATACATACAGGCAGACATACATACTGACATACAGACACACATATATAATGACATACAGACATACATATATACATAGACATACATATAGACAGACATACGTACATCCATAGACATACATGCATACAGACAGACATACAGACAGACAGACAGATATACATACAGAGACAGACATACATACACAGACAGGCATACATACATACATAGACATACATGCATGCCTACAGACAGACATACAGACATACACATACATACATACACACAGACATACATACAGACACACACAGACATGCATGCATACAGACAGACATACATACACAGACAGACATACATACATAGACATACATGCATGCAGACAGATAGACACATACAGACAGACATGCATACAGACACACACAGCTCATTTTCCAGCCACCCTCCTGTCTCTTACCTTTTCTTTGCAGGAGGGTGGCTGGGGATAATGGGAGTCGGTGGGGCTCCCTCTTCACTGCCTGGCTCTCCCTCTTCACTGGCGCGCGCGCTCCTCCCGTGCGGAGTGGGCTGGGAGGAAGTGACCACTTCATCCCAGCAGCACTTGTGGCTTTTTTTTTTTTTTAAAGGGGCCCGGTCGCGGCCACAACGTTGACTGGGCCACTGATGGAGGCCCTGCCTATATTCACTCCATAGCATGAGATCTAATTAGGAGACTCCATATGTATATATTTTCTTCTGTTGGGTGATGGGTTTATTATTACTTTTTACTGACTATTTGAGTCCTTGATTACTTCTTATTTCAATATGTTTTTTGTCCAATTTTGAATAAACTTTTCTATTCATTTTTTTAGGAACTTGCTCATTTCCATTTTTCCTCTTTTAGTAGGGGTACTTTGGAATTAGTTATTATTCCCCAATGCTCTTTGGGTTATGCCCCTGCAAGCTCCCCAACACGAGATCAGTTTATACATTATTTTCATTTATCTATTGTACAGTGCTGGGGAATATGTCGGCGCTATATAAATAAGCGTAATTGTAACGTGCAAGTACAAATTATATTTTAATGAACATACATTTTCCAAATTGAAATTGCATATTATCCAACCTATGCAATCTAATGAATATTAACATGCTATTTTAACAAAGATAACATATACTAATTATTGTAGTTCAAATTTTGATAGCTACAAACAGAAAATGCCAGTCACAGCAACTTACATCTGTGATTTCTAGGTGTGAATATAACATGGTGTCATACTTCCCAACACTCCCGCTTTTGGCAGGACAGTCCTGACTTTAAGGTCCTGTCGTCCTGCCTTAGTTCCCTAGTGTTAACACCAACTCTCCAACTGTCTCCAGGCAGCACAAGCACATCATTAGACAAGCTCACGCTGTCAGGTGGGTAATAGGACCATGCAGAGAGCATTTCAGCAGCATTTCTGATGCCTTCCTCAGGCCCCCTCCCATCCTGATTGCATACCTACCAGTGTTGGGAGGTATGTGATGGTGGTATTGTGTGACTGGCCTGGAAATTATAATGTTTCCTCTTTTAACAAACTATGTTGAAATAAACAATCCTTCCGTTTCAGATAGGGTTGGCCCAATATTGTTTCTATTTTAAGAGAGCCGATTTCACCACAGTGCCTATTTGTTAAGGTTTACTGCTGAAAAGGCTGATGAGCCGAGAATAATGTAGGTTGTATTTGAGTACTGATATCTGTATTAATGTCACTGTACATAACATAGAGGAAATCACATTCATTTTCCTACATATGGGAGAGAATCCTTCTGTATGGAAACATGTCTTTCTGTAAAAATAAAGTACTAGCAGAGGCCATGACACACAACAACAATGTGAAATGTAGTCGTGATCTTATCAGATTCCAGGAAAACACCCAGCTAGCCAGTTTTAGCATGTCCTACGCAGGGAAAGGGGGAATCTCCAGCCATACTGCACAAAGCATCACACTTGCTCAGGAAATGAGTCACAGTACAGTGTACATCTATGACCAAAGCAGAATATGACCAAAACAGAATACATTATTATTTATTAAACTTTGATAAATACATACAGGTCTGCTTCCATATATGTGATGTAGCACATAATAAATTGTTTAAATGTGTTGCACAGTATAATTTGTTATGTACACACACATGCGCACACACCAAGCTGCCTTAGTTTAAACACAAAATCCCACCCCTACTCTACATACGTGCCAAACGCCACCATACATACACTATTTCTCATACATAATTAATTTACCAATCACACAGAAATCCACCTAATTATCAACACATATAATGAATTACTCACATACAATACGGAATCTGTTGGCGCTATATAAATGGCGATAATAATAATGCCTACTTAGCAACACTTATATGTGTACACACAGACACTACTTTATTCATCCAGGAATACACATACACACAGACACAGACACTCTTATTTCTTGGCTGAATCTACTGTCCTCTTAATGTCTGAATTGTTGCTCCTCTAAAAGTGGGTTCTTTGGACCTACTTGGGCTGGACCCCTTATGGGCTGTACCTGATACACACCTTCACCCCAACCTCTGTTTAATGATTTCCACGCTGCCAGTGATGTATAGGAAACCTCTTCAACTTGAATTAAGCTTCAGAACTTTTCAATTTCATGGTTGGTTTGTTTGTTTGATTAATTGCTTGCTTTTTCAGTTTTAGTTTTTTGGGGGGGAACGGGGGGTCAATCTCCTATTCTTTTTTTTACAATAGTAGCATTCAAAGCTGCTGTAATGATATAATACAAAATATTAACTCAATAAAAAAAAAAGTCAGCAATAATATACAAGCCACAGGTAACTATTTATTAGCTTTTGAGTTGTGCATCATCAGAAGTTAAAGATCTTATTAAAGTAACATTGTTTATCGCGCATACAGGGAGTGCAGAATTATTAGGCAAATGAGTATTTTGACCACATCATCCTCTTTATGCATGTTGTCTTACTCCAAGCTGTATAGGCTCGAAAGCCTACTACCAATTAAGCATATTAGGTGATGTGCATCTCTGTAATGAGAAGGGGTGTGGTCTATTGACATCAACACCCTATATCAAGTGTGCATAATTATTAGGCAACTTCCTTTCCTTTGGCAAAATGGGTCAAAAGAAGGACTTGACAGGCTCAGAAAAGTCAAAAATAGTGAGATCTCTTGCAGAGGGATGCAGCACTCTTAAAATTGCAAAGCTTCTGAAGCGTGATCATCGAACAATCAAGCGTTTCATTCAAAATAGTCAACAGGGTCGCAAGAAGCGTGTGGAAAAACCAAGGCACAAAATAACTGCCCATGAACTGAGAAAAGTCAAGCGTGCAGCTGCCATGATGCCACTTGCCACCAGTTTGGCCATATTTCAGAGCTGCAACATCACTGGAATGCCCAAAAGCACAAGGTGTGCAATACTCAGAGACATGGCCAAGGTAAGAAAGGCTGAAAGACGACCACCACTGAACAAGACACACAAGCTGAAACGTCAAGACTGGGCCAAGAAATATCTCAAGACTGATTTTTCTAGGGTTTTATGGACTGATGAAATGAGAGTGAGTCTTGATGGGCCAGATGGATGGGCCCGTGGCTGGATTGGTAAAGGGCAGAGAGCTCCAGTCCGACTCAGACGCCAGCAAGGAGGAGGTGGAGTACTGGTTTGGGCTGGTATCATCAAAGATGAGCTTGTGGGGCCTTTTCGGGTTGAGGATGGAGTCAAGCTCAACTCCCAGTCCTACTGCCAGTTCCTGGAAGACACCTTCTTCAAGCAGTGGTAAAGGAAGAAGTCTGCATCCTTCAAAAAAAAAAAAAGTTTTTCATGCAGGACAATGCTCCATCACACGCGTCCAAGTACTCCACAGCGTGGCTGGCAAGAAAGGGTATAAAAGAAGAAAATCTAATGACATGGCCTCCTTGTTCACCTGATCTGAACCCCATTGAGAACCTGTGGTCCATCATCAAATGTGAGATTTACAAGGAGGGAAAACAGTACACCTCTCTGAACAGTGTCTGGGAGGCTGTGGTTGCTGCTGCACGCAATGTTGATGGTGAACAGATCAAAACACTGACAGAATCCATGGATGGCAGGCTTTTGAGTGTCCTTGCAAAGAAAGGTGGCTATATTGGTCACTGATTTGTTTTTGTTTTGTTTTTTGAATGTCAGAAATGTATATTTGTGAATGTTGAGATGTTATATTGGTTTCACTGGTAATAATAAATAATTGAAATGGGTATATATTTGTTTTTTGTTAAGTTGCCTAATAATTATGCACAGTAATAGTCACCTGCACACACAGATATCCCCCTAACATAGCTAAAACTAAAAACAAACTAAAAACTACTTCCAAAAATATTCAGCTTTGATATTAATGAGTTTTTTGGGTTCATTGAGAACATGGTTGTTGTTCAATAATAAAATTAATCCTCAAAAATACAACTTGCCTAATAATTCTGCACTCCCTGTATACCACCAGAGGTACAGGTATTAATGGTGAACTGTTTTATTATTGATTAGGCATTAATCCAGATTGTTTTTCCACAGACTAGCTTTGTTACTTTTTGTAGTATGTTAATGGGCACCCGTGATACTTATCATACAGTATAGAGGATGAACTCAATATAACACACAGATAATCTTCCACATGAGATTCACATCTCTGAATGAAGGCAAAAGTTATAAGAGGACATGATTCGTGTCACTTTTGATGATTGCTGGTATCGTATTCTTCTTGTTCATTTACAACAAGAACATGAAGATACTGTAAGATACACTGTGCGTACACATGCTAAGTTGTAAATGATGGCCATGAGCATGAATTCTACTTTCAATTTTAAATCCAGAACAGGCAGCGTCTCTCTGGGATACAGTCTGGAACAAATAAGAGCACATCTGGAATATTAAAGAGTTTTATAAATAGCAGAAATAAAATTGCCTACACTGCAAAAATAGAGAAAAAAAAAAACATTAACTAGTTCCAGGGCTTCACGCAGAGCATAACTGGATGAAATTACTATTTGGCAAACTTCTTAAGCAACATATTTTTTTTTTCTGTATAGTATTTTAATTCAATACAATTAGATGCAAATAAAAGTAGGTATCACGCAGTAGCAACAATGTAACAAATGTCATAAATAGCCAAGTAGTGGCTGCATGATGGCAAAAGACAGTGTGTATCACTTTAAGGGTATATTTGTAGTGGGAAGATAATCAAAGTAGAACATGTTTTGAATAGAAAATCCAAACAAAACAATAAAGAGAGAGAAAGGCTTTTCATAAAACCACAAAGATCCCTCAAATTTAGATTAGGGAATGGACAATTTCTACAGAGGAAGGAATGTTTAAAGGAAAACTGTCTATTTTTACGTCTTTAATATTTGTACATATAAGAAAAAAACTCATATGGTTGGATAATTGATTCTTCTGTGCACTGGGTCCCAGGTTCTCGGAGACATGTGAT